AACCTGGCTGTTTCTATCTATGCAATATCTCTTACATAAAGCCCTTCACTCTGCCACTCTAGTTCAGACCCTCATTGCCTATCACCTCGATACTTACAAAGGCCTCCCAACTGGTCTCCCTGCCTCAACTCTCTTCCCACCTCAGCTTACCCTCCTGCAAAAGTAATTCTCCTTAAGTGAATGTTGACCGCACCACTCCTTTTCTCAGTAAGCACCAGCGACCCCCTATTAGCCCTAGGAGAAAATCTAAACCTGTTTAGCTTTACAGGCTCTTTAGCATCTGGTTCCAACCTAGATTACTAACCTTACTATAATTCAGTACAGTGTCAGGCACAAGGTAGGTTTGTAATAAATATTGACTGATTGATTTGATTAGGGTGGAAGTAAATTAGTGAGTGGAGAGAGAAAGAAATCTATGTGCCAATTGTCAAGTTAGCCGACAAAGTGCGGACCCAACGGGAGTCACTGCTGTTCGCTGGACAAACGGACCACCTGCTCCAGCACCAGCCATCCGCCGATGGTCTGGGGCCTGCCTAAGCCTAGTATTCCAAAGCTAGAAGGGCATTTTCTGGCTCCGGGAATATGTTTGTCTGTTAAGTGACAAGTGGCATGGACAGAGATGGAAGCTGGTTTGGAGACTCTGGCTTTGCCTCTTTGCCAGGTAACAGGTGGTTACATCTGAACATCAGAATCACCCAGAGGGTGTTTCTGTGGCAGGGGCTAAGGTATCCTCTGGCTCTGGGAATCTCAGGGTCTACTGATAGAATTGGATGCTTAAGATTGTCAAGACTCTTCTGTCAGTCTCCTCGCTGAACCAAGAGTCACAATCACAAGGAACACCCTAGTACAACTGAAGCCTAGCCTGGTCCTGTGACTTTAAAATACTCACTTGATTAAATTTCTATTCTGCTCTTTATCTCTAAGCAAAGGAAATAAGTGGTCTACTGCAAAAAGTGTTACCTCTTTTATACCCTACTACCCTACTATCCTTTAGGAATCACTGAAGGAGCAATCTGTTCAGTAAAAATAATAGCTAACTCATTTACTTCATGCTTTAAGGTTTGCAAAGAACTTTAAATTTGATCTTCCCAACAACCCTGGGACATAGGCACTATTATTTTCCTCATTTTACAGATGGAGAAACTGAGGCTGAGAGCGATCAAGCGACTTGCCCACCAGGTTCATATGGCTAGCGAGTGGCTGAGGCAAGATTTAAATTCAGATATTGCTGACTCAGATCCCGAGTTCTGTCCACTACTGCACCTGACTGCCTGTCCAGACCAACCCCTTTTTCTTCATTCCCTACCCAAGCAGACTGATTATCCCGTGACTAAATTGCTAAGTGAACTTTCTTAAATAATGGTTTATATCACTGAGGCATCAAATTTATAATCAAAATGTCAAATAAGGGAAAAAAAAACTCTCTACCAATAAAAACAAAGCTTCCAGATGTCACCTCATTGTGCCCTGGCTGCATATGGGCAGTGAAATAAAGGACACTTACCTGAAGACTGCAAGGCTCAGAGACCAGAGCACAAGCGGCTTCCTCAGCTCAAACTTTGCCCGTTTGTTCATTAGGTGCCGACCACCAAATATAAAGGCAGCATACAGAGCTGAAAACAAGAATGACTTCTTCCTGTAAAGAAAACAAACCAGAAAAAAAAATGTCACTGAGTCTCCCATTAGTCATTCAAAGCTGGTATCTGGGCTCATTCCTATGTGGCAATTTTCCTCCCCTGAAATTAAATCACATTTCATATCACTTCTTCTAATTGAAATCGTTGAAAGCTGGTGATGCCAGACACATTGATCTTTCTTGTGCCTGAGAATGTCCTTCTTCACTGAGGACAGAGAAGCTGAGCTGCCTATTTGGCTAACTGGACTACTGGAGTTTCTCTCTTTGTAAGCAAGGTTGTTCCACAGATTACCCAACACATTTAAACTTGGTGCCAAGCACCGGGTTTTCTTTTAGAGTGCTAGATTTTTCTTTTGAGGTGACTTATAATTGCTGCTGTTGTCCAGTCATGTTCAACTCTTTACGATCCCACGGACTTGTCTATCAGGTTTTCTTGGCAAAGATACTGGAGTGGTTTGCCATTTCCTTCTACAGTATCTACCCATTTTACAGATGAGGACCTGAAGCAAATAGGGTTTAAAGGATTGGCCCAGGGTCACACAGCTAGTGAATGTCTGAGGCTGGATTTGAACTCAGAATCTTCTTGACTCCAGGCCCAGGGATCTATCTATGCGCCACCTAGCTGCCCACTATAATTATGTTTCCTATCATGACCTATAATTATGATTTCCTAAAATAAATGTGTGTATAATATCTGTATACATACGTACATATCCTATATACATATATGCATATACATATATTTAAAAGACTGTCACTGAAGACAAAGGAGATAAAGATGGAGAATGTTGCTTAATAATATCTAGCATTTATGAGGCACTTTTTAAGGTTGACAAATGTTTATTTTTTTTTTTACAAAAATTATCTTTCTTTATCCTCACAATAACCTTTGGAGGCAAGTGCTATTATTACTCATATTTTGCAGATGAGGAAACCGTGGCAGACAGAAGTTAGGTGACTCGCCCAAAATCACATAGCTAGTAAATGCCTGAGGTTAGATTTGAACTGAGGTCTTCTTAACTCCAAGTCCAACACTCTATCCACTGTGCCACCTAGTTGTCTGGGTAGAAGGTTTCATTTTTCAAAGTTGGTTGACAATGGATTCTTTGATTTTCATGGAGATTAGACACCTGGCAACTGGGTATCTGTCTTGGGGCAAGAGATCAATTAGAACTGTAGCCTGGCAAAGCAGATAGAGTGCTGTGCCTGGAGTCAGGAAGGCCTGAGTTCAAATCTGGTTACTTGTTTGCCTCAGTTTCCTCACCTGTAAAATGAACTGGAGAAGGAAATGGCAAACCACTCTAGTATCTTTGCCAAGAAAACCTCAAAAGGGGTCATAAAGAGTTGGATACAACTGAAAATGACTTAACAACAACAACGTTAAAAGATCTGGTCCAACTTATTGTATTTTTGGTCACCAAATATACCCTAATTTTCCATATTGCCAGCTTATATAGAGGTAGAAAGAATGTTAAAGACAGATCATTAGCCAACCTCACAAATCTACAGCTGGAAGGACCCTTCAGGGGCCATTTAATCTAACCTATTTATCTTACAGATGAGGAATTGGCCTTACTTACATAGTGCTAAGCTGAGCGTTTAAGACATGCCACGGTATGCGTCTGACTGGGATAACCTGTTAATCAGATTTGGCCTAGAAAATTTCCTTCATGAAGAAAATTTGCATTCGAAATAAATGTTTTTGCAAGATATTGTTGTGTGAGGGAGGATGAGGAAATTGTTTTCGTATTAAAAAAGTAGTACCGTAAGTACTAAATTCATTAGTAATTCATCCCCAAAATATTTTCTATCACAGTGACAAGATTACGGTCACATGTTTTGGTAAACATTTTGGTTGGGCCTCTTCCTTGATGATGAAACTTGAAAATCTCCCTAAACTTGTCTCTTATGGTAGAAACTGAAAGTAAAAAGCATTACAAAGTAAAATGGTGCTAGCAATGGTGAAAACCACCTCAAAGATTAGATGAAAAACAATGTAATACAAAAAGTCAATCTGCATATGGATTTAACAGAGATTTTTGAAATAATCCAACTTAGTACACTTCCAAAAAAGAGAAAAGTGAGTTCCTGGGTATAGAACAGAACCACAATGGGTTAATATGAAATGCATTATCCGCAAATCTTCCTATATTTTCTAACTGCTGGCATGTATTGCTGACTCAAAGGACTGGCTTATACCTTATTTACATAAAAAGTATTCCTATTTAAATTAATGTAAAGATAATAACTACAGGAGAGTACACTCTTAAGTGAAAGCTTAATAATACATCTCACTGATGTTTCCCCAAAGCTCCTCTGGCAATCTGATATCTTGTCATCTCAAAAACCAGCATAATTTTAATGGGAAGAATAATTCAATTTTCCCAATAATTGTGAGTTCTAATTATAATAACTACAGAAAATAGGCTTTTAATATCATGTGTTGGTGGTGGCTTTTTAAAAATTACTTCAGGGAAACTCAGGCTATTTCTAAATATGGAAAGTGAAGTAGAGAATTAGGAAAATTATCTGGAAAAGGCAACTATTTAGATATATCCAGGAAGAGGTATTTGAGGGTATGAATTAAATAGTTATTGCTGAAAAGCTTGCCTTTGATAAGATACAACCTTAAACGTCAAGCAGTGATTCTGAATCTCTTGTGCTTGTATTAGAAGTAAAATAAAGGGAAATAGATTCAATGAGATAATATTCTCCAGAGTATCATGGCGATTCATTAAGCCCAATTCTCCCCTCTAACCTGTGGCAGAAAAAGCCTTTCTACTGCTCTTTGCTAAAAGCAAATTAAAAAAAAATTTTTCCCAACATTCTCTCTGCTTTTTTAATAGCCTCTTGCTTCTCTGCCAAATGTATTCCAAATGATGCCAGATAATGAAGACCGATCTTGCTCTAAAAGCCCTTTCTAATTAATGACAACTGGTTCTAGTCATTCTAGAGTAAGAATTCTTACTATTCATTCATCCCATTCAATTGCAGAGTTTATCCAGTTTGGTTCAGATTTTAGGTGCCATTGGATTAGAGATATAATTCCACACTAATATCATTACTATATAAAGTATGTGCGTATGTGTGTGTAAGTGAGAGAGAGAGAGAACTGTTTTACTGTTCTTGAGTCATGAAAA